TTTTTCATCCATATCAATTTTAAATTTCAGAACTTCTGACTCTCGCATCTCAGATATAGTATTCATATTCCTTTTCAAGCAAATCTAAATGAATTTAAAAGTAATATTAAGATTTCAGGCAAAACAATTAATGAGACCAATAAGAACAAAATAAGAAAAAAACAATGCAAACTAAAAAAAAAAAAGAAGACATAACCCAAAAACTGACGACAGTTAATGCAAGTTAATTCTCAATGAATAAAACAAACCCAGTTTAAGCGACCTATCGGGTTGAAATTCAAGTTCTGTGTACACGTTGTGTTTGCAAGGGAGAAGAGCTAACACTAGATGTGTATTGTAGGTTGCACTTTGTAAATATAAATACAGCTGTTTCACAAACCATGCCTCTTTCGGGGAGATATATAATATTCATAGATATTTTGTTTTGTTTATGTACTGGTTCCCAGATATAATCTTTATGTTTCCTCTCATAGAGACATAACTTGGGAATGTTACCAGTATAAATACACACGGACAGCGGCGAAATTGAGTTCTGAGGAGGACCAAAAGTGAAGGCAGGGGTAATACAGAATTTTAGTTTAAGTTTAAAATCTTAGAAGTTCGGGGCATGTAAATGTTGCCCTATATTTTGAAATTTGAAAAAAAAAAAAATTGTAGCACAAATGAATTTTCCATTCTAGGATATAATTTTTTAAGAAACTTCATAGGAAAAGTGACACAGTTTTAGCCGTAAAAGGAGTTCCGATCCTATGGGAAATTGCATTGTCTATATTTACAGAAGTGCAACCTGTAATTAGATTGATGTACGACACGTTAAACGTATTGTCTGCCATTACAGTCATTTTTTTTTCAACCAATTTCAATGACGATTGTTGTGTAATTTTGAAGATTCATAAAAAGGACAAATTAGTGTAGCTTATAAAAGAATTGAAATGTGTATATAATGTTTTAAAAGAGAGAGGTGGATGTTAACCACCTGGCCCCCTTTGGACTAGCCACCTTTATTGTTTCGTGATAGAGTGTTCCCTTTGAGTAATTGAGATCATGGGTTCAACCATAGATTTGAAAATTGGTATTTGCTGCTTCCAATTTTCTACTTAGCATGCCTCATTGAGGAGAAAGAGCAAACACGGACGGCAACCTGCATTCGTGTGGTTTGCTACATTGTTGATCAAAAGATCTTAACTATGGCTTATTATATCGGTCTAATACAAAAGAGGCGAAAGATACCAAGGGAACTATCTCCTGAAATTTAGTTAAAAGCTTTTTGTGAGCATTCTATACTATACATACTATACGTTAATGCATTTTCACTTTCATCACTCATCAACTTCCGGTTTACCGAATACTTATATATTCTTACACATAACGGTAATGTATGCAATTTTCGTTGCATTTTTCTCAGGAACTACGAAACTCAGCTCTGAAATTCGGTAGAAAGCTTCGTTTGAGCATTGTTTAGTTTGTGGTGCATTTATATAGCGGAGGTATTATTAGTAAGCAGTAACGCACAGTTCAACTTGTTTATTCTTACACATTATGATTATGAATGAAATTTTCGTTCTAAGGAACTACGAATCAACACATTTTGATATTTGAAATCAAGCTTCATGTTTGGTGCGTTTTCACATCGAGCAATAGCTCAGATTTCTATTACCTAAAAATTCGTTTCCACTTTCCGATTTTATATCAACACAAAATAGCTTCTTACTTCTTACTTGTCTTTTTATATCCAATTTCAATTGGTCCAATAGGTTTTTAATACATTATTCAAAAAGATATTCACGTCTGCCGAAGAAACAATAAATCTTTGATAACATTAAAAGTTTATCCTCGAGTCGAGGAATTGGACAAAATTGAGGTTTTGAACCTCAATTACTACATTTAAAGCTTGAATAATATTGAAGATTGATCTGAAATACGGATATACTAACGAACATATTTTTGTAGATTTTAGAAACATAATAAGCATAAAATACTTAAACTTTAATAACGTTTCCTTCACTTTGTTTTAAGATTATTTGTCAAAAACATTATTAGGATAAGATGAGATTGATTTTCAGATTCATTTGATGAAGCAGCGTTTTTTTTTTCTATACGAGCTTTCTTGTTGTAATTTTCTTTGTTTGTTCGTCTATGTAAGAATATGTAACAAAATGATTATAGGTGGCCTGAGCCAAAAACCAGAAACATAAAGCTAACCTAGCTCAAATTAATGAATGAGGATTATTTTCATTTTAGAAGAAAGTATATGCTAGTAATAGTAAATTCAAGAATAAATTCAGGTTATTGTGCTTTATGACTGCACATAGACTAATCATACATCCATTTGTTAATGTAGATTTTTTACTGTTACTGGATTATTCTTAATGTACACTTTTCTATATATATTTTGGATTTCATTTATTGAGATAAAACAGACAAGGGTCTTAATGTGCATGTCTTTGGTCACGAACCTACCTAGTGTGTAGATATATCTACTGTTATCTAATTCTGATTCTGTTTAAGAATTTAGTGTTGATTGCAGATTTCGGTGTCCATGTTTAAAAGAAGATGTGGTATGATTGTCGATGAAACAACTCTCCATAAGAGACCAAATGACACAAAAATTAACAACTATAGGTCACCGTACGGTCTTCAACAATGAGCACAGCCTATACCGCAAATTGTCTAGAAAGACATGTATTCGCGATTTGAAATCTTTAGATACCATAATAGTCGTCTGATCTGTAAATTAATACAATGTGTCCTATTTCATATTGTGACACTTTGACTGGCTTCGTATGTCGGGTATCATATTGGAACACCGGTTTCGCTCCATTTTAAGTTCATACGATTCATTCATTTCTTTATGTTGTTTGCATATTCACAATGGATTTACGAATCTGGAACATCGTGAAACTACTGTTTCCTCTTATTTAGACTCGGGACGATGTGGACCATTACATAAAGGCAACAGTAGTATACCGCTTTTCGAAATTCATAAATCGATTGAGAAAAAAACAAATCCGGGTTACAAACTAAAACTGAGGGAAACACATCAAATATAAGAGGAGAACTACGACACAACATTAAAATGTAACACACACAGAAACGAACTATATTATAACAATGGCCATGTTCCTGACTTGGTACAGGACATTTTAAGAAAAAATTGGTGGGTTGAACCGGGTTTTGTGGCTAGCCAAACCTCCAGCTTTTATGGCAATGTTAAATACAACACTAAAATGACAACATTACATGACAGGACTACAATACAAATAAATGGAAGAACATGTAGGACAGAGAAATACACAAATAAACAAAAACGACAATGCAGCACTCACAGAAACAAACTATGTGATATGTATAGATTATTACATGGCATTTTTCATATCAGACCCTTTATCGGCCCTAGGTCATGATATCAGCCCAAGAGCAGGCTCGAGTTCTGATATCATGAACGAGGGCCGATAAAGGGTCTGATATGAAAAATGACATGTAATCATCTTTTTATCATATACTTCAGCAGAAGAAATACAGATAAGAACTATTAATTAAAATTGTGTCTTTCTATGAATTTTTAGATAATAATTTACAGACAACCAAATACAAATTTCTTAACTTTAATTGTTTTTATTGATATTACAAGCATTTTATTTATCTTGTCACAACAATTATCATGTTCTTAGTTTGAAATTTGCTCCTCAACCATTTTGTGAAAAGTCTTAAATCACTTGCGGTTTTCTGCACTTTGTTGTCGTTTTCGAGCAAATATCCGGAAATGCACGAAGTTGCATGTGATAAACGTCACGGAAATTAACGGAAAGGCATGTGATAACATTTCGGAAGCAGTCAATAAAGGTTGAACAGTAAAATTTTAGTAATATTTTATACAAGTATATGATAAAGATATATATACTTGAGTTTTTGCTTTATTATAATGTATCTTAGTGAAATTTAGATTTAAGTGACGAAGAATACTACCGATGCATCTTATATTGATCTCGACATTGACACAAATAGACGACTTCAGATTTATTAGAAAACACTCAGATACATTTAAACCTATAACTTGAGATCAAATATAGAATACAAAATTTATGCATAACATGACAGAAAACAAATAAACATATTAAAGTCATTACATTTAGCTCTAAAAATCAAACAGTGTGAATAATTATACAAATAGTCGAATAATATATATGGATCGATAATGCCACAGAACACAGTTATTTCGTAGTACATTTCTTTTAGACAATAAATTCAAATTCAAAATATCGCACCTGCATTATCTCTAAAAAGATTTTTACAGTGTAGCTAGTGTTCTACTTTTGGGACAAAGTATATCAAAACTATAGAAAATTATACCAGCTCTAACTCAAAATACGGACAATTCTATGTTAAGGGGTCGGTTTGACAGCTTGAGAATGATCTGGGTAAGATCTGCGGTACCTAGGTATGTATTTATTTCTTAATTAATAATACAATATTCTCATTTCTACATATAAACAAAATATGGAACTCATCTCCAATACCATTTCTACATAAGCTACGTCTTCTATCCACCCCATGTGATATTGTGCCAACAGCCAGTTGCTAAGGGTAAATGTAAATTATATGTACATAGTACTTTAAAGTAGAATCTATGACAAACTAGATGATTTTATCTTCCCAATTGTCAACTTCCCATTTCTCAGCAGTAACATACCTTCTGTTTCATTATTGCGGTTATATATACGCTCATTCGTGTTTACGCTATATAGACCTCATTAGTTGACCATAGGATGTGTCTGTGTGTCAACTTGCAAGCGACATGTTTACGCGGTTTTAGATCCTTAGATAATATAGTATCTGATCTATATTTTTACCGATCGTGTCCAATTCTCTATTGTGACATTTTGACTGTATGGGTTCGCATGGCGGGTGGTGAATGCATAACAAGAGACTCTTACCCTGTCGACGCACCCGGTCTCGCTCCTTTTGGAGTTCATGTGATTACCTTGATTGTGATTGATTACCTGGATTTGTATCTTCTTAATCGATTACTGAGATTTGAACATGAGATAACTACTGTAGCCTTTAATTGGGTGGATTGTTGTAATTTCTTTTCTTTATCTGCAAAGAGAAATAATGTAGCTCACTACCTTTTTGTATTTAAGTTCATGATATCTATTGTACTCTTTTCAACGTAAAGAACGAAAGGTTAGTCAAGTGTCGTTTCTTTCTGAAATAGCCAATATATGGATAACCAAAATGAATGACACCTTTTCCATTCAAAACGTGTATAACTTGCTTTTTTTGCAATTGCTATATATCATAGGTAAATGATAACACTTTACGTTGAATCTGTTTGTGATCATTTTTATTGGTATTGTTTTTGTTTTTATTATAAATATTAATGGACTTTTTTTAACAGAAATAGGGATTGGTATATGTAAAAACAATTTTTCCAATTTATATTACACTCAAAACTTCGTAAATTATCCTGTTTTAACAAAGATAAAAGATAGCATCAATGATGGAAAACACTGGCGAGTTCTATTTGGGAGGGGTGATATTTTTTTGCAACAGAACTATTAAAACCTTAAACATTCCAAAAAAGGACGAATCAAAAATTAGACATTAAGACAATATTATTTATCAGTTGTTATGACAGAAGAATACATTTAATTCTTTTTTAAATGCATATGCAATAAGATATTTAATAATAAAGTAAAATTGATCTGCATTTTGTCTATTCAGTTTAAAACTTCACAAATCCAATGGAATAATAGACAACGTGTTTATTTAAACAAATTTTTATTCGACAAATCATGTATGCATTTAGAATTCAGTTATTAGTAAGTTGATTCGTAGTATGTACAATCAATAGGCATTCAATTATACATAAAAGATTTTAAAATATCAAGATGATAATTTTTATTGAAAGCAACAAGTAATGACATCATCATATATATAAAGGAAATATGGGATATAAACGTAAAAGGCTAAACAAACAAAAAATGAATCCATACAAGACATTATTTTTTTAATTGTAATTTTTCTATCCATTATAATTCTGATTTGCTATTTTTATTTTTCGAAATGCCTAAACTTTTCCTATCGCAGTCCATGCAAAATAAGTTATTAAACAATTGAAGATATCTCCATAAATTCGTTTACTTTATAGTTGAAAACTCAAGTTCAATTTCTACTGCAGTCGTAACTTAAATACTTAAAAAAAACTCATTAACGTCAGTTCCGTAAAACTCTGGAATTCATGAGCACATCGATATTACGGGAAAAAAACAATAGCTATGTGGCAGAAAGCTTTATTTCCTAGTTATCATTACTATAGTGAGTAGTCATCCTGTTGACAGCTGCATTGTGAATGTTTTAAATTATGTTTTTATTTTCACGACGTATGGTCTAGACAGGAATATGACAGTTGTTTTCTATTCATTCCAGTGGCGGATCCAGAACTTTTTGTAAAGAGGGGAAGGGGGGGGGGGGGGGCTGACTAACCTAAAAAAAGGGGGGCTCCAGCTTCAGTGATTCCCTATATAATCAACAAAATTTTTCTTACAAAAGGGGGCCCGATCACCCCCGCCCCCTGGATCCGCCTATGCGTTCCTCAATCTGATATAGTCGAACGTTTGATTTTGTCAGCTTTTTTGGACTCACATTTTGAATTTATCTTGGAGATCGGTATTTTTGTTAATATTATTTTTTTACACGTAAATCCATCAGAAGTCATTGTAATTTAAGGTCTTTTGAAACTTTAAAATCAATAAAATAAGTGACGAAAATCTTACCTTACAGTACGTTTGACGCTCAAGGATATTCTTTTAATAGTTAAATGCAATTCACCGGACTGTACGTTAAATACATCGAAATGGTTTCGATTTTTTTGTACAGTATTTAATTATATTTAACTGACGAATACCTATTTTAAATGCTCAAATTATTTCTATTGAATATACATAATAGTTAACAAATGGCCAATAAAAGAAGGTATAACATGTCCTACATATATAACTTCCTTGTTAAGATTATACACACACAGAGAGAGAGAGAGAGAGAGAGAGAGAGCATTTCATTTGTAAATAATTGGAGTTGGAAAATTTATGGCATATATTTTCTTTGTTTACATACATCCTATGAAGATCTAGATTTAGTTTTTGTTTTTTTATAATGTCATTTAGTTAACAAAGACCGTCGGATATGTCATTCTCTTAGTAATATCTCTTGATGAGAAACTTTGAGAGTTCTTTAGTTGATTTATTTTGTTGTATTTGTATTTGCATTTGCTATTTACATTGCATATTTGCTGTAAGTCATCTGATGTATTACATGTATTTTGTTATATATATTCATGAGATTTAATCACTCGACTTTTGCATGTTTTGTCTTGACATGAAATATCATTGACATGGTCATATTTATACATTAACTGTTAACAAAACCTTGAATTGTTGGCTGATCCGAATTGTTCACAATTTTGTGGATTTTCTTCCCCATGAATAAATAACCTTAGCTGTAGTTGTAAAAACCTTTTGGAATTTTGGGTCCTCAAAGCTCTTCAGCTGCGTACTTTATTTGGCATTTTAATTCTTTTCATGAGTCTTTTGTAGACGAGCGACATGTCTGGCGTACAAAATTATTGGCCTGGTATCTTTGCCGAATTATTTCATGCTTAGTGATCGCTGCCTTTGTTCTGTTATTCAATGTTTTCCCAATAAATCTGTGATCACAAATGTATGACTTTCCCCTTCCTACAACTGAATTTTCTTTCCTTGATGGTGACGTTCTATTTGCTCCTTGCGTGTAGTTTGTGTTTCTTCACATAAGCCGTAACTCGATTACAAAGATGTTGGTTTTCCCACAAAAAGGCCTTAACAATATATAATATCCTTTAAGTGTGGAAATGACATTTTAGAATTTTAAAATTGCTTGATAAGTGAACTAGGCATTGACGATTCACTCACTAACCCAACATATATCCAAGGACAGTGAATAAAGATACAATTCATTTGTGTAAACCTGTGTAGTTGGGTGGCTGTCTCATTATTGAAAATAAATAAGTTGCTAGATTGGTCATTTGAAAAACAGCGTCTTCTAAGAGATCAAACTCAATAGCAACCAGCTATTCAAAAAAAAAAAGCTGTGAGCCAAAAGGTGTTGCCTTTCATGTAATCATTTGCACTTTGTAATATTTTACCTATAATCCAATAAATTTCTTCGCCGAGCGCAGCTGGATACGACCACAGAGGTCCAACCCTGAACAGTTGGGGCAAAAATGAACACAATATTTGCGCTTGATACAGGTCTGAATTTGGATTGTAATTAAATATTTGACACATAATAGGTTTCTGACACAGAATAACTGTAGTCATCGAACTTAGAATTGGTTACATGATTTGAATTTATATTCAATTTTTTGCTTTTGTACATTACACTGCTGTTGCGAATTGAACCCCCCCCCCTTTTTTTTGCAAAATAAAATTATAATATATACTATATTTTTTCTGAAATCTGAAATGAGAAAAAAATTTCCACCCCCCCACCCCCCCCCCACCCCAAAAAAAAAAAATCTTTCCCTCAAGATATGGTCATAATCTCAATTCAAATTTCCAAAGGAGTTTGCAACCATAATTACCCATTTAAATACATCATAAAAGTCTTAAAATAGAAAATGACATACATAATCATGGCTAAAATTAATATTCCTTAATCAACATTTTAATAGTAACTTCTAAAAATAAATTGACAACTAATCACCTCAAGACAATACAACATTTCTTTATACATAATTTAAAATCAGTGTAAGGGAGGTAATCCAAACATAACATTGTACTTTTAAGTAATTGTCCATTAACCAGGAAACCCTTGTTTTCCCCCTTTTTGCCCCTTATTCCTATAAACGGTTTGAGCCATAACCCCCCCCCCCCCCCCCCCCCCACCCAAAAATAAAAAAAAGCTAATCCTAACCATCCCTTTGCGGTATGGAAACTTGTGGTCTAATTTCAGAGATCCATACACCTTTCCACAAGTTATTATCTGGAAAGTAGAAAAATGATTATTTGGGCCCATTTTTGGCCCCTAATTCCTAAACTGTTAGGACCATAACCCACAAAATCAATCCCAACCTTCCTTTTGTGGTTATAAACCTTGAGATTAAATTTCATAGATTTCTATTTACATATACTAAAGTTGTTGTCCGGAAACCAAATGTCTTCGGACGACGCAGACGACGACAACGTAATACCAATATACGACCGCAAAATTTTTTACTGTCGTATAAAAACGAGATATTATAACACATTTGGGAGATAATCCCCAACCTGCTAAATCCTAAATGTTACATTTCTTTTGCTTTTATAGCGACCATATTGCCTTTTCTTTTTTGACTTATGGGTCTGATTGTCCCATGCTGGGGCGTAGCTGGGTCCATTTGAAGAGCACGTCGGTAAGGTTTTATTTTAACTAGACGCAAATGGTGCATTCTGAGGGCCTAAATTTAGTTTCAAAAGCAAAGTAGAAAGACTGGGTTTGCTCATTTTTAATTAAGAAACATCAGCAATTTTAAAAAATCTGCCCTCCGTTTCTTTTAGGCTGCAACGACAACGTCCATGGCCTTGTCTAAATTGACTTCAAAATCACGGTGGATTTACATTAAACCTAAAGACAACAATCTGTCATTTCTCATTCTAGACGACCTTTCGGCGGTAGCATTGTTAAGAGAATACACAGTATTGTACTTATTTTACTTTTTAGTTTGTAAAATGTGTGTTTGATTTTTCTGGATTTTATAAACCTAATTGGACAAGCTTTCGATTAAAAGTATATTCCAATCCTGTATCATCCAATCAGAAGCCGTACAAGATTCTATTCTGAGTATCATTGAGTACAAAAACTTGCCGGTAAAATGTAAATAAATAATTGCGCTCTTGTAACATACGGTAATGCAAATATTTTTTTCTGAAATTCAGCGCACGGCCCATATGAAGCGCAAGCGTCTATCTAGCTCATATCACAACTTCAAACCAGTATCTCATCAGTCTCTGAATTTTGAGAATTATTTATTGGACGTCGAGCCGGCCTAAAATTTGAACTGAATTTTTAGCAAATACGGT